CTCAGCGCCATGACCACCTTCACCACAACAGCCTCTATCAGCACTATGACCACCTTCACTACCATAGCCACGCTCAGTGTCATGACCACTTTCACCACCACAGCCAATATCAGGGCCAGACCACCTTTACCACCACAGCCATGCTCAGCACCATGACCACCTTCACCACCACAGCCTAGATCAGCACTATAGTCACCTTTCTCTGCACAGCCACCACCAGTTCACCCCTGTTACCATTCCCGCTACCATTATTATTATCTGGATTTTGACATATAACTTAAGACTTCATTACGGGTGAGTACAAGTTTTTCCCTATCAGTGAAAAATTACTTACTAAGCAATGAAACAGTTTAAACAAGACTGCAGAGAACATGTTGAACTTACTTAAGTTCACTCACTGATGCACTCACTGATGTTCGAATTTCCAAACATTTGATTCATTCCTTAATATGTATTACATAGACTAAATTTGCTCAACATTTCTCAAAGCTAACTGGGGTTATTTTACATTTTAGGAAGGTGGTAAATACCCTATTTGTCTTCCATGAAATTAATCTAAATTAGTGAGATTTTGTAATACATGTATAGAAAATCACACATATGTTCCTCTTGGAGTATAAAGAGAAAAATACTTGTTACTTAATTTCTAAAATGGTGTTGGTTATAATAGTCCTTCTTTCCCCATTTTTATTTTATGATCTTCCCTTGCTTAAAGTTGTCAAGACAGCAGACTAACCCTGGGCCTCACTAAGGTCAAGCCAAGTGCATTAGAGAGCCCTTGTCCTACATGGGCCCACGCTTTACTGGCCTATGATAGTGGGTCTGTAGACTAGATTTCCTAAAACTATTAAAAGCATTGCTTTCAAGTATTTATGAAGGGGCCTTCTGACATAGTCATTGTTAGTTTCATGATCATCAGTTAGTTCTTCATGCTATCCTGTTCTGAATATGTATTAGTCCTATCAATGTGATTTATACAAAGCTTCAAAAGTAATTCTGATTTTTAAATAAATAAATTTATTTAAAAATATAACACAGTGATCTATCCTCATGAATGACAGTAAAAATTCAGGTGTGAATAAAACCATAATGAAATACCACTATACATTTCATGACAGTGGCTAAAAAAGAGAAAACCAACTGACCATGCCAAGTGCTGAGTGATTAGGACACAGAATTTGAATTCTCATACAGCCTTACGGGAATGCACAATGGTACAGACACTTCAGAAAACAGCCTGGCAGTTTCTTAAAAACTTAAAGACACTTAATGTTGGACCAGCAATCCTATTCTTAGGTATTTATTCAAGTGAAAAGAAAAAGCTTCTAGGTGAACCTTTATAGCACACTTATTCATATTTGCCCCAAACTGGAAACTAACTAAATGTCTGTTAATTGGTAACTAGTAAAACAAATAACTCTTCCTTGCAATGGAATACTAGTCAGCATAGAAATGGATGAACTACAGATACACACAGCACCGTGGAGGAATCTCAGATTCACTGCGCTGAATAAAACAAGGCAGACTCAACAGTTTGCATACTATATAATTCTCCCTATGTGACATTCTGGAAAAGGAAGAACTACAATGGTAGAAAACAGATCAGTAGTTGCCAGGAGTGGAGTTGACTAAAAGGGGGCATGAAGGGATGGGTAATGGAATCGATTTGCATATGGACAGCAGTTATATGACTGAATATTTGTCAAAATTCATAGAACTATATGCCTTTTACTCCATGTAAATCTTACTTCGATAAATCTAACTAACAAATCCAGTGTGGTAAATGGAAAATAAGAGTTGAAATTACGTATATTCTTTACTTGTATACCTAAATGAAAGTCAAAAACTATTCTCCGGCAAAGACAGGTAACTTTACTGTCAGCTACGTGGATTCATGCTGTTATTCCCTTTTGTATGAAGCCTTCAATACATTAAATTGTGACTCACATGCAGTACACAGGTAAACTGAAAACCATCCAAACTCACCCTAGGTTTTCTCATTTTTAGGAACCACAATCTATAATGTTTTCTTCATGGAAACATGAAAAATAAGGACATGTCTGCAACATATCAGTGGGTATATACTTAAGGGATTGAAAGAGGTTAGCAATTTTTGGCTAAACATAAAGGCAATTCTAAAAATTGTCCATTAGTTCTAAGGTCATTAAGGCCCTTCATTTCTCTTGTTTGTTACAGAAATAACTTCCAAACACAAACCAACTGTGGGAATGATGACAGATGGGAGGCTGACTCTCCTTTCTCTGTCACCTTCCATGGAGACCATGATTTTCTAATTTATGAAGTAGATAGTGGGAAGATTGGAAATAGGTTTTACAATTGGGATAATTCTTTGTGGTGGGATTCAAATTTGCAAGTTGTAGTGATTTGTTCACACATGGTAGAAATATGGTAGATACATGAGTCTTAAAGAAGTACCTATATTTTAAAACCGTATCAAGGATGTGTTGATATAGAGATAACTATGCATCTGCTTAAAGCCAGGAAGAATTAAAATCACAGCGGCCGCCACAGATTGAGCACTTTCCATGTGCTAAGGAGGCACCACACGTTGCTCCTGGGTGTCAGGTCTCACCAATCCCTGCCTCGCTCTTTTGGTTCAAGGGTCCCACACAGCCCAGAACTCCCTGCTGTGTGCTGTTCTTGCCTCTGGGCCTTTGTCCATTCACTTCTTCACTCAATACGTGTATCTTGACGATCTGTGAAACGTCTGGTATGGATTAAACTGTGTCCTCCAACTCCAATCCAAAGTTTGAAGTCATAGCCCCTACTTCCAGAGAATGTGATGTTATTTGGAAATAAGCCTTTGTAGGAATAGTTAGGATGAGGTCATACTGGAATAGGGTGGACCACTGATCCTATATTACCTGTGTCACAGCAAAAGTAGAAAGTTGGACACACACACACATGCACACACAGATGTATACACACAAAAAGCCATGTGACAATGAAGGCCAAGAGCACAGTGATGTGTCTACAAACTAAGAAAGGCCCAAGCTTTCCAGAAAATCACCGTAAGTTAGGAGAGAGGTATAGAACAGTTTCCTCCTTACTGCCCTCAGAAGGAACCAGACCCTAGATTTTGGGCATGCAGCCTTCTGAACTGTGAGACAACAATTTTTTAACTATATTTTAAACTGTATGAGGTCACACAGTTAAGTTTATAAACTCATCCTGGAAAAAGTGCCACATAGCTCATTGCTGAATATCCCTATGGTCACTTTTGAAGTCCTCCCCATGGGAAATTATGCACCAATGCCATCAAGAGCTTTGTCTACATTTAAAGCAATTGGGGTAATCTTTTCTGGAGGAAAAGCAGCCCAGTTGCTTGAAGTATGACACAGGAGCTTTCAGGCTAGGTCTGGGCATGGCCTTTGGGGAGATCAACGATTCTTATCCTGGCAAGGACGCCCACAGACACCCAACATTGGGGCATATGGACAACCCCAGGAGCTTCACATAGCAACTGTTACATCAATTTCCAAGTACAGGGACCTGAGCGGTGACTGTACTGACATTTTCCTGGCTGGCTCTGACCTCTGAATCTCCCTGATTAGTCTAACACACACTGTGAACACCAACCAGTTAGGACTCAACGCCAGGACTCAACAATTGCTTTAAAATGGGAAGAGATATTTAAGACATAATTTCTGTGTCTTGGTCATTAACTGTTCACTTCCCAATCCATGATTCTTTTTTTATATGTCCTCTTCCAGTTGTTTTTCCCTGTCAGGCTCATGTTTCTGTGGTAGTTAACGCTAATCACTGAGATATTTTTGTAGGCAGTTCATGCTCTTGATCTCAGAGATTAATCAACATAGCTAGAGGAATTTGAAAAAATATTCTACTCACTACCCATTTTAACTTTCCACCATCCTATGTGTATTTCTCTCGTTTAAGTAAAAACAACTTCTCCCCCCAGAAATGTTGGTTGAATTTCTATACTTAGAGAAATAATTAAAGAATTCTTATGTGTGAAGATGATAATTTATGCTCCATTATTCCAAGATCACCCAAAGGCCCAAATACCTTAAGAATATCATGTATCACCTGGTATTTTCAGACATAATTCCTCTATGACTCTTGGATTCTGTTGACTCTATTCCTCCCCTGCCAACACTCACATCTTTCTCTCCCCTCAACCTCTTATTTCTAACAGTACACTTCACACCTATAGATTTCACCTCCTTTCTAACAATAGCCATCAATACACACCTTTAAATTCAGTATCCTAGGACAAATTCTGGCACTTTTCAACAAAACCACAGTTACTGTCCTATTTCTAAAGCTACCTATCCCCCAGAACTCTGGTGTTCTATCCATTCCATCAACAACCATTTCTTAAATATGTAGTGTACTCAGAAACCTGATTAGATCCTAAGTATAATTCAGAAGAAGTGAAAACAATATAGTTTACATTTCCACTAACCTTGAAAACAAAAACAAGCTGCTTTTGTAAAACCAGTTGTCACACTTTGAACTTGAAAGTTCTAAGATTGCAACACTTTTGTATCACCTATACGTGAGGACCTGCTAACCACTTGCCACACGGCTGCATTACTTTTATATACAGCATCTCAATCTCCTAAATTCTCTTCCTTTATCCTACCTCCAGGGTGCATTTTTCAACATATGTCATTAGTTTGGCTCTTCTTCACACTCTACCCTTCCACATATGGCCTTCAGCACTTTCCTCTCCGATTCACCCGGGTTTTGGCTGTTGTTTCTTCTCCACCCTTCCTAGCACACAGCAGCCATTTATTCATTTATTTCTCTCCAGTTAATGCGCAGCTCCCTTCTGCGGGCCACATACCTGCTGCATGCCTTGTACGGTCTGCTGCAGGAACTGGAGCTGCTGGTCCTTGGTGAGGTTTTCTTCTGTGCGAAAAAGCTGTTCTTTTTCTTGCTTCAGCAGCTCCACCTCGTTCCTGTAGGCATCCAGCTGCCAGCGAAGACTGTCATTTTCCTCCTTCAGGGCGTAGGCCTGAGCAGCCAGGGCTGGAGGAGAAACAGAAAAGGTCCCAGTGAGTTACTGTCCTGCTCAGACTGGGGAGGCTTTCTGTGGGAAAGGGAATCTCTTCTCCCAAATTCTTAATGTTCCTTCGTCCCAGCTCAGAAAGAAAACCCAAATGCCATGCACTAGGGCAATTTGTGTTTGGCATATATCCCTTCTTTGGGGATTTTTGTTTATTCTCTGTATCTTGTCTTATGTCTGAACATTCCTTATGGGCACAGGATTAAGTCCTTCTAAATTCTGATCTGACCTGACCTCCAAGGTGTTGGAAGGTGATGCCAACATTCAGAATCCCTGGCATATCCACCATAACATCATCCTCTCCCTCTCCACAGGCTGGCTTAGCTCCCTGGAGCACTGCTTTATTTCTGAGAATCAGCTGCTCCACAGGTCGAGGCATGCAGCAGCATCCCAGGGGAGACAGGAATTTATATGCACACCATTCCTGCCTGCTCTACCCCTGGGACAAATTGCATGAATTGTTTTCTCTAATTCCTATCAGAACGGTAACCTAGTTCCATCTGTTTCACCAACAGATTAAAACTCTTTTCCCTTACAAGGCTGAGTGGTTACTCTAATACTCCTCCCTGAAAGCTAAAATTCTATGTGTGTAGATTCAGATTTCATGCACATCTCTATCTTAATGAAAAACCAAGAAGACACTTAATTTGTGGTCTCAAACATCTCAAAGTTTTAGAAACAGCTGGAACCGAATGAAAGAGTGAATGGTACAAAACACTGATTGCAGATAGGAATTCCTGTCCCTGGTTCCCACTTTATTGCTTAGTGATCTCTCTGATAATCGTAACAGTTTGCTGTGAGCTCACAAAAGGCCAAGAGCTTCATATGAACTAATTCGCTTCATCCCCCCCATCAAGACTGTGATGTGGGTGCTGGTCTTATCCCCAACTTGAGAAAAATGAGGCACGGAGGAGTTGTATAAGTTGTCCAGTCCCACAAAGTAGCAGCAGAAACAGTCTTCAACCCTTGGCCGTGAGTTCCAGGCTCTTTGCTCTCCATTACTGCACCACTGTCAGCCTGTGTTTAGTTCTTACCAGACCGTTCCAGCTTCACATTCCACCCCCCCTTACTTTCCCACCACTGTCCCGTACATTCTCCCCACCTCACAGAAAAGTTATTCTTGGATTTTTAAAGAGAATAGTGAAAAAAAAATTTGAAAAGCTTGTTACCAGAAACTTCTTCAAAGATGCCACTTCTGGTGAGAAGCCTCCTGCACAGCCAGCCATGTTCATTTTCTCCATACCCCTGATCCCTTATGTCAGAGGGGTGGGCCAAGGTCAGCCTCCTGAACACTCTACTTGCCCATTACAGGACAATAATGACAGAGCTTTTCTGAGGTGCTCTGAGACTTCAGTGAATTCTTCTCTTGAATATCAAATGTCCAAAATAGGTTTATAGTTGAGTGTTTTATGAAATTCCACTTTGCAAAATAATAATGTATGTATAGTATACACTGAAGTACTCACCACACAAAGCATGTAAGTAACCAGAAAATTCCCTACCTTCAATCATTAGGGATCAATTAATTGATAACATTTACTATATACTCACTTATGCCCCAGGTATGTCTGGTCATCCTGGATGACCAAAAAAGGAAAGAAAATATGTCTCTTCTCTCAAAGAGCTTAAAATCTAATAGAAACTGACATATTTGAAAGGAAACTAATGCAGTCAAAGGAAGAACATGATGCGTGCATGTAATTGGAGTCAATAAATGTTGGTTGGATAAAGAAAGTGAGCAACTTTGCATTGAGGTGTTTGACAAAAGAATACATCCTGTAGAAGTTAAGAGAAGAGAAAGAGAAATGGGGATTAAAGGAATAAAACAGGGTTTTGCAAGAAGGAGGGAAGCTTGACCAAAAAGGCAAGTGTGCTCAGAAGCAGTGAGAGAAAGGAGATCCATGTCAGGCCACGAAAGAGGATAGGGAAGGTTTGGCTCAATGGAGCAACTGATTGAGAATCACAGAAGGTGCTTGGGGCAGCGGAAGGACACAAGGAAATTGGTGATTTAGGAACATTGGTTTAGCAATGGTGCGTGGAATGAACTGGAGGCTGCAGAGAATGAATAAAGGAAATGTATTTGGTTTGTATGTGTGTGCAAAACCAAGGGGCAGCCAATTTTACAGTGTTCATGGATTTACTTATACAATCAGAAATGATCCAGGTACACCCAGGAACATGAGCTGCTGCTTCTTAACACTGTACAGCCCAACTTCAGATCTTGCCCACACTGCTTACCACCTTCTGACAAGTCAGTTTACCAACTATGAGGAAATAGTTGCGAGGTATCATTTGTAGGAGGCAATGTTGTAATAGGGCAAAATCACAGAAAATGCAAATGATGAAGCAAGTGTTGGCACCACACAAGCACATTACTACATTTAGTAGCATTCAAAGACACTTAAGTCATTTCCGTAGGAAGCTCTATTTGGCCCTTTTTCAATTCAGAGTGGCATTTTTATTATCATAACTGATAGCAGGTGTTTGTGAAGAAATCGATTAGTATGCAGGGATGGAAATTACATTTTCCAAATGAATTGCAAGTCTGCAAGATATGCTGAAATCTGTGTAGCAAAATGAAAGCAACTATAAAGCATGTGCCAGCAGCATTATTTAAATAAATTATCTGAACATAAATACATCTAGGAAAGTATACCGTCTATTATTTTAGGGACTGTCGTATAAGCCTGCGGAATGATACTGCTGAGCATTCTTATTCTTGGCTAAGCCAGGTGACCACTGTGCCTGCCAAGCAGGGTATGATGCTGTCTGCATTCCTGGAATAGGAATATGATATCATGATATATTATAAAAAACAAACCAACAGCTATAATTCCCCCTACCAAAAAAAAAAATCAATACCATAGCCAATCTCGTCAACATTTTTATAATTGGGGCATATAACTGATTTACATTTTTGATTAAACGATTTCAAGCTTGATATTTACAAAAAAAATTGTAGTTACTCATGTGGCAGCAAGCGGTTATCTTGTAAAGGGTGAGAAATTGTATATTGACTCCACTTAACTTCAGGCCACCCATTTAAAAACAATATTCAGTGTCAAACTGCAGCCCCGAGTGGCCTGGAAGAGGCTGTATTATGTTTCTTGGACCAAAGCTCTAGCAGAATATAAATCCCAATAATTTCTGACCTAAAATAATTTCTCAGTGTGTTAAAAAAACCAAAAACTTGAATATCAACTTTTTACTTTTCTTTTTCTCTTTTTCATTAGTGCTTTCTGGAATATTGTCATTAAAGAGTTTTAAAAAAATGTGTCATTAAGCTTTCATGATAAAATTTATCCTAACAGCTACACAATAAATTCACTATTAAAATAAGCATAAGGATTAAAAATAAACTAACTAACTGTGCATCTTTTGTCAAGAATCCCCAATGAGTAGACTGGGTGCCAATAAATGGGATATTTAACTAAGAGACACCCCATGTGCATTACCAATCCCAACCAAAAAAGAAGAATACAATTAGATCTTAAATGTAAACTATATTGAACATAATTACATTTTTGTTTTAGAGATTTTAAAGGCACTGTTGAATTTAAGAGGCACTGTGGTGCCTCTGAGTTATCATAATTAATTCACCAATCAACCATTTATCAAGGAAACATGGCAAGGAGCTGTAGCATTTGCAAGAAGGTTAAGGCCAGTACATGCATTTATAGTTACTCACTACCTTAGAAAAATTCTGTACACTGCAATTTTTTGATTGGGTCAAAAATGAAATAACATTAGAAAAATTTTTCTAAGCAAGAGGAAGTTATATTCCAAAAATTAGCATTTGACTCATAAAATCAACCAGAGTGATACTAGTGTATGAAAACAGATTCAAAGACTAAGTTGCACTGCTGAAGGAGAGCCCTAAAGGTAGACAGCATCCCATCGTATCCCTTACTAGATTCTATATAAACCATTATCCCTTATATTAATTATGGTCAAAGTGACCTCCTCATCTGTGTGCTGTCTTACTTACTGTGTTTCCATGGGAACAGATAATGGCGTGCTTAACTTCTTTAAGTAAATAATCTAGTGAAAGCCTTGAAATCTCTCTTACCAGTCTCAGAAAAATAATTAGCAATATATGAGAAATGTAAGTTATTTTGGGTTATGTCCCAGTAAGCTGACAGTCTGTTAATATCTTTTTCATGCTCAGGCAAGAAGTAACTAAATAATGAAACACTTTAATATATTGTTTCTAACAATATCTTGGTTTCTCCAGAACTGTTAGTCTTTGTGTCTTCGGGGAGCTCTGTGTTGAACACTCCCCCTTTACTTTGCCAGATGTCCTCCTGGAATGCCGGAAGGACACTGCTGAACCGTATATTTCTTTCCCACATGCAAAGAAAATCTTCTTTCATTGGCTGCTATCCAGGTAGGCAGTCATACTGAGGCCCAGGACACAGGAGGACAGGGACAGGCTTAATGCTTGGTGGATATCACCCCAATATCTATATGCCTTCCATGGCTCACTGCTCCATGCCCCTGCCTTCTGGGCTCTGTGAGAGGGAGCAGTAGTTATGTCCCAGTGACGAGGACTGTGTCCAGGTTCTCTCTGCCCTCTGAATCTTCTGCAGCATCTGAGGTGTTCAGTGGCTTCTCTATGGCAGAGACACAATGCCGTGAAGGGCAGCAGTATGTGCTTTTTTGGAGTTCCTCCTCTTTCTACTGTGGGAAGGGGCTTGGATCTCGGAGTCACCTCATGGAGGAAAGACATCCATAAGCCCAGAATATCAGCCTTGGACTAAGCCTAAGAAATGAATGCCTTCTTTTTGGTTAGGCTACTGAAAATTAGGGACTTAAGTATACAGCAGCTGGCATTATTCTAACCTAGTGTTTTCCAAATGTTGGCCCTCATTAGAATCTCTGGTGGGCATATTATTAAAACACGTACTTCTGGCCCCTACCCTGGGAGTTTCTAATAAGCATGTCTGGAAGGAAGCCTGAGAAT